TTTTTTTTTGGCCTTTACGGTCAACTAGGGAGGGTCCCCTTTTGGAGGTCTATTATTCCAGATAATATTCCTTATCTGAATATTCCCTAGTCTGTGGCTCCTCCTCTTGCCTCTTTCCCCTGCTTCTCCACTTCTCTCCTCCTCCCCTCCCCTCCCCATCTCCTTCTCCCCTCTCATCCTCTCCCCTCCCTCCTCTCCCTCTCTCTTCATCTCCTCCTCCCCTGATCTCCCTCTCCTCTCGTCTTCTCACCCTCCCCTCCTCCCTCTCCTTCTTCCCTCCCCTCCTCTCATTTCCTCCTTCCCTCCCCTCTCTCTTTTCTTGTCCTCTCCCCTCCCTCCTCTCCTCTCCCCTCCTCTCCCAAGGACCTTCTCGCCACCTATTACAGTACAGGCCCCCAGCCAAAGAGTTTAGTACCTTACTGGAAAGGGCATCTCCACTGCCCTCACCCCCCACCCCAAAAAAGCTAGTCACCATTGGGTTGGAGTCTGAAATGAGGTCTTTCAGAGTATCCAGGAAACCCTGGTCCTCCACCAGCTGGGCATTGATGTCGTGCAGCTTCGCCACGCAGACGGCGGCCGTCTTGCGCACGTAGGGGTCCTCGTCCTTCAGGCACTTCCGCAACGGCTCGCAGAGATACTCGGTGATCTTGTCGACACGAATGCAGCCCATCGTGCGGACGGCCAGGGCTCGGATGAGGGGGTTCGGATCTTCGCAGTCCTAGTGGAAATGAGAGAAGCTGTACGGGTGGCCCGCCAGTTTCAAGAGGCTGTTCGGCCAGCGGCAAGGTTCTTAATTTGGAGTGAAAGAACTCTCTTTCCTACTGAAATCAAAGCGTTCCTGCCCTGATATTATTAGGGCGGGGGGGGGGGGTGTCTCCCAAAACCTGGCAACTTTTGAGACTTGTGGACTTCCAACTCCCAGTCCAGGCTGTAAGAGTTGAAGCTCCACAGCTAAGTTGCCAAATTGCTACGCCACTGTAAATCAAGTAGCCCCTGACTACAAACAGCTGCTTAAAAACGGGTGGGAACTTTTGGTGGATCCCCAATGCAAAAGATACTTCTAACCCAGTTCTGACGGCTGGCATCTCCTCCAGTCAACTGACCGCATTTTGGGCATTGGGCAACCTGCTCAGCTATTAAGATTGTTGGATGAGCAGGCATTAAAAACAGCCAGCTATTAAGATTGTTGGACGAGCAAGAACAAAAGCAGCCAGCTACCAAGATTGTTGGATGAACAGGCTTAAAAACAGCCAGCAACTAAGGCTGTTGGACGAGCAGGAACAAAAACAGCCAGGGAAGTGATTGAAGCCTGGAACCAGGCCCCCTTGTCAGTCAAAGGGAGTGTTGATTTACAACCAGCCTATCAAGTACTAAGAAGGCAAAGGCGCAACAGCACAAGCGAACGACAGCCGATGACTTAAAAGCCAGCCATCAACACACCCCAATCAAAATCTGGAAAACTACATACAATTGGCATTATAAACACGACACACAGTGAACAGCACACACTCTGCTAGACAGAAGTTCCCTGAGGATGGTTTCCGGCATGAGTCCAAAAGCTCGCAAGAGCAAACCTCTGTTCTCAATTACAGACCCAAATTGGAGCCTCCAATTATCCTGGGACACGTACATTCGCCTCCGTTCATAAGTGCAGATTCACCGAATCTGAATCGTGAACAAGTATCATGAACACAGTGTATAAAGAGGGATCTAGCATGGTGTTGTGGTTCGCCGGCAGCAGGTGAGGACGGATGAGGTCTCAAGAGAGCGAAGACTCAGATGAGGGGCCTACGTGGGATGCAGGGATGGGGTCAGGACCATCAGGGAGTGGAGTTCTGCCTACGGAGATTGTGGAGGCTGGCAGCAGTGAGGAAGAGGATCCCGAGGAGCCTGTGCCCAGGGCTGCTTGAAGGAAAGAGCAGCTGCAGCAGCACGGGCGACTCGGGAGTAAGGCTGCAAGGTAATGGCCCCTCCTTTAAGAGATAAAAGCCAGCTGAGAAACAAGAGCACTTTGCAGGAAGCAAAGAAGTTTTTGCACTCAAGCCTTATAGACATTCAGAATATCTTTGTTGGTGTTTAGAGACTCTTTGTGTTTGAAATATTTCTTGGTAACTTTATTTAGTGCTCTTGGCAGCCATGCACAACCTTGGCAAGGCTCGTTCTTATCAGAGACGATTAGTTTGAAACAGCCTTTTAAGCGGGAAGGAACAGAATTGGTAAAGAATCATTAAAAGGTTTTGCTGTGACCTCTGTTTCGTGTTGGTTTCCTTGGAACCAGGTTTGGGTCAGAACACATGGATTGCACCCCAAAGACAGAAGTTAAGGGGCACGTTCGGTGATGTTGTCAGCTCCCTCTGCTAGCTTTCCAAAAGCCGTTTGGAAGCATCTCGCCTGGCTTCTCTACAGCATCGCTCACCCAGAAGGCGCAGCCACACTCACCTTAACAAAGGTGTTGACTGCCATGATGGCCATGTCTGGCTGACTCTTGGCATAGTTCATCAGGTACAGGTAGACCAGCTTCTTCAGCTCCAGGTTGTCTGTCTGCATGCAGTTCACCACATCCGGGAAAAGAGCGCTGGGAGGAGAAAACGGAAGGCGCCTTAAAGGATCCTTCTCGTCTCGGAGAACAACACAGGGAGTCCTCGACTTACGACAGCAACGGAGCCCAACGTTCCCGCCGCTAAGCGAGACCAGGTTTCTCTGCCAAGGTGGGAATCCATGGCAGGTAGCGGTTCTGCCCCCAACCCCCTCTGCGCCTCCATTCCAGAAAAAAATTAAACTGAGCTCAAAAAGCAATCTTCGTCCTGACAAAATGGACCTTCTGGTGCGTTGAAATTAAATATATATAAAGAGCCAGTTTGGAATCTGGTGATGGAGGCGCCGGGCTGGAAGACGGGATATGGCGAGTTCTAGTCTCACCTGAGGCATGAATGCTGATTGGGCGATTTTGGGCCAATCACCAGGTGACGGTGAGTTCTAGTCTCACTTGAGGCATGAAAGCCAGCTGATAACTTTGGGCTAATCACCAGGAGACGGTGAGTTCTAGTTCCACCTTAGGCATGAAAGCCAGCTGATGACTTTGGGCTAATCACCAAAGACTGTGAGTTCTAGTTCTACCTTAGGCATGAAAGCCAGCTGGGACTCTGGGACAATCACCAGGAGACGGTGAGTTCTAGTCCAGCCTGAGGCACGAAAGCAGG